CTTTCTCTTTGATCACTTGAGATTCAAACTGAAAGAACCTTGAATCTCAAGTAATCAAAGAGAAAGAAGAAAAAACAATGTATCCAGCCTCCACCCTCTAAGTGGCAGTGTAACTGCTTTTCCTCCTGTTGTTACAACCCTCTTTATAATCCTTCTTATTATCTTCTTTATATTCCAAGCTTAGGAAAGAAAAAAAAAACTTAAATGGAGATAAAAAAACAATCCAATCAATCAAATCAAGCATTATAAAAAAGGAGAATTTTAATCCATAGGTATAAGCAAAAGTGAAAAAGAAGTAGAAAGAATTAATCTATTCAGTTTAAAAAATAGGGAGCCCCTGGAAAAGTTCCATCCATGAAAAAAAAATTAGAAACTGGATAACACACTAAGTTCAATGCAGATCAAGTTTACCGCCTACAGTCTTCTGTCTTCAGTCTTAACTTAACTTACATTTTTTCTTGGGTAGTCTCTTCCTCTAATAATAAAATTTCCTCACCAATTCAACACACTTTGTCTTTCTGCTTTCTTCCCGTTTTGGAGCTGTCCCAACTTCAGCAGCTTCATTAGCTGTGTTTCTATCGCGGGAAAAAAGGGCTATTCCTGGATCTTTCAGGGACTTTGCGGTGTCCCTGAGATCAGCAGGAGGTGCCCTCTCAATCACCGTCTCTTTGGGACGGTTTAGGTCCAAATGAAATGTCCAGCGGCAGAAATTCGACTGCGATGTCGGAGTACCAAGATCGCACGTCGTGCCGTTGCGACGTCAGCTCTCCTCTCTCCAGGCTGAGTTCTATATTGCTTCACACCTATAAACAAAACCTTTGATCACAAGCAATGTCATTGGGGGAGCCAGATTCAATTAAGAACTGTGTCACTAACTTAATAACTGGAGTGATTCACTTAACAATGGTGTAAAGAAACATCGTAAAATGGGACACAACTCACTTTGGAAATGTTTCACTTAACAAAAATCTTGGACTCAATTGTGATTGTAAGTTGAGGACTACCTGTAGCTGTCTCTTTTCCTACCCAAGACTTTGAAACCATTTGTTGTTTGCCATCTCGTTGTCCATTGAGAATGCAGAAGAGCTTGTTCCACTTGGAGACTGACACATTGGGTGAGAATGCCCAATTGATGAGTCTTAAAATCTTTTTCATGACTACCTATAATTAAAGCACCAATTCGCTTTTAATTTTTCAAGTTGCACGTTGCCTTGAGCGTTATTTGATGCCTACATCTTATTATTACTACTACATATGTTTGGACTTGTAATAAGTGCAAAACTTTGTTGTTACGCTCCATGGAAGGCCAGTAAGTGTGACAGCCATGGGACCCACATGGCAGGTGTGGTGAATGGAAGGGATGCTGGAGTTGCCAAAGGGGCCAATGTTCGCAGTCTGCGGGTGCTCAACTGCCAAGGAAAAGGCACCGTAAGCGGCACACTGATTGGTGAGTAGCAAGTGGGGGGTTCAATCATTTCTAAAATTAAATTCATTCTCTCATTTTTATAAGAATCTGCAAATTTGTCATAGGTTGTTATTAGCATTTCTCTCAATTTTATTTGCTATGTATTTTTGGAAAGATAATAATTATTGTTAGATAATACATTTCTATATTTTTTTCTTAATATCTGTTTTGTCTGAATATTCGCTTAATATTATTGTCTGTCTGTCTGTCTGTCTGTCTGTCTGTCTGTCTGTCTGTCTATCTATCTATCTATCTATCTATCTATCTATCTATCTATCTATCTATCTATCTATCTATCTATCTATCTATCATCTCTATATCTATATCTAAATCTATCCATCCATGAGTTGCAAACAGTAGTACAAAATTCAGATGACTCAGCTCTGATTCAAATTTAGGCTGACATTTCCTCACTCCACATCATAGCTATATCTCTGGCCTACACAAAGGAAAAAAACTATGGTTATCTAGTGGGGGCCAGTATTGCATTTTTTAAGAGGTGAAATTACAGGCCAAAATATTATGTGAAAGACTTGGTATGTTTATTGCAAACATTACAAATAATTTGATTGTATTTGGAAAAAGATCCCAAAAAGAAAGCAATTCAGTTTAAGTTTAAGTTTTATTTTATTTATATGCCGCCCTATTCCCTAAAAGGGACTCAGGGCGGCGAACAACTTAAACGGGAAGGGGAAACATACAAGTACAAAATAGACATTTAAAATGACCAACAACCACACCTGTCGAGAGGGGAAGGGAGCTCATCAACCCCAGGCCTGCTGACACAACCAGGTTTTAACGGCTTTTCGGAAAGCAGGGAGAGAGGTGAGGGTCCGAATCTCCGCGGGGAGTTTGTTCCAAAGGGCCGGAGCTGCAACAGAGAAGGCCCTCCCCCGGGTCGTAGCCAGATGGCATTGGCTGGTGGATGGAACCCGGAGGAGGCGGACCCTGTGCGATCTAATGGGTCTTTGGGAGGTAATTGGCAGCAGGCGGTCTCAAGTACCCAGGTCCAATACCATGAAGGGCTTTATAAGTAATAACTAGCACCTTGAAGCATATCCGGAGACCGATTGGAAGCCAGTGCAGCTCGTGGAGGATAGGTGTAACGTGGGTGTATCAAGGTACACCCACAATCGCTCGCGCGGCCGCATTTTGGACCAGTTGAAGTCTCCGAATTCAATCTACTTCTGTATTTGTGTCCCTCTAAAAACTGCATGCATTTATCCATGTGGTCACTAGGAATCCTGTTCAGTTAGATAGGGTTAATGCCTTTAATACTTTTGTTGAGTCAAGCAGGCTTTAAAAATAATTGTAAGGTTTTTGTAATAATTGTAAGAAAATTATTAAACTCTGAATACAATTAAGTTCAAAATTTCAAAAATTAAATTGTGCTTATTATTTATGTTTTCATAAATGCATGCATATATCTGGTTAAGGTTTAAGATAGAGAATTCTATTTATTTTTACTAATTTAAAAGGTGGAAAAATAAATTATTTTTCAGTTTTATGTGGTTTCTTTGAGGGTTTTCTGTTTTCACCCTGCATCTCAATCCTAAAAAATACTTTTTTTTAAAAAGCCAGAATGTTCTTCCTGTTTGTGTCTTTAAAATTTGGAGCTTCCATTAAATCAGGCGTGTCCAAACTTGGGAACTTTAAGACTTGTGGAATTCAACTTCCCCATGCTGGCTGGGGAATTCTGGGAGTTGAAGTCCACAAGTCTTAAAGTTCCCAAGTTTGGACACTCCTGCATTAGATAAAAGAAATGCAATGGTGCTAATCCTTTGCCCTTTACCCTTTGCCTTACAGGGCTGGAATTCATTGCAAAGACCCTGGCTGTCCAGCCCTACAGCCCGCTGATTGTTTTGCTACCCTTGGCTGGCACCTATAGCCCCATCCTGAATGCCGCTTGTCGTCAGATGGTGCAGATGGGAGTAGTCATGATAGCTGCAGCAGGCAACTACAAAGACGATGCTTGTCTATACTCCCCAGCATCAGAACCAGAAGTAAGTAGACAAGGTTTTCCTTTCAATGGCAATAGCAGTTAGACTTATATACCGCTTCATAGGGCTTTCAGCCCTCTCTAAGCGGTTTAGAGTCAGCATATCGCCCCCACAGTCTGGGTCCTCATTCACCCACCTCGGAAGGATGGAAGGCTGAGTCAACCTTGAGCCGGTGAGATTTGAACCGCTGAACTGCAGATAACAGTCAGCTGAAGTGGCCTGCAGTACTGCACCCTAACCACTGCGCCACCTCGGCTCTTTCAACCCCAAAGACATGGAAAAATGATCCAGAAATGGTTTGTAATCCCTCTAACACAGGGGTGAGCAACTATGACAACTTTACGACTGTGGACTTCAATTCCCAGAATTCTTGAACCAGGACGTCTGGGAGTTGAAGTCCTCAGGTTATAAAGTTGCCATAGTTGCTCATCTCTACACTGATAAATCTCATCAAGATCTGCCAGTTACTTCACTGCTTTAAATGCAGTGTTTTTCAGTTGTCACAATGTTGTCCCAACTCATTTAGCAAATGGAAAGTTGAGGAAGATTGTGAAGCTTCACCCATGCCCATTGTGTTTGACCTCAGGGCCAGGGTGGGCGAGGCCAGCTAGATGTCACTCATGTTGGTGGCCCCTATGGGGGCCTGAGCACTCTGCCAGCAAAAACAGGTGCCTAAGCTCCATTTTCAGTGTAACAGCCTCTGCCAGTGAAAACTGAGCTCGAAAGGACTGCGTGCAGCTCTCCTGGGCCCCATTATCAGCTGCAATGGCCTCCTGCATCCCTCTGCCAGCAGTCCTCTCAAGCTCCATTTTCACTGGCAGAGGCACCGTGGACCGGTCTTTTACTGTTTCCATGACGGCCCTGCGGCCAGATCTGGCCTATGAGCCATGCCATAAACAAACATAGGCCATTGTGTAATACAAATATTTGCATTGTGTGAAGTTGTCCAAGCTTAGTATCAAGGCAATGAAGAACCTGTAAGATCAGGCTTAGATAGTACTCACGTGGGAATTTGACTCAGTGTGATTTTTTTTTAGGGGAGGAGTTTTAATTTCATGATGTCAACATACTTTTCCCACAGAAGATCCCATGCTCAATATTTGACTACAGAATTTCAGTCAGGAACTTTTTCCAAATACATGTGGATTTTCTGGGAAGTGGTTTCTGATAGTAGTGAGATAAGATGGGACAGATAGACTTAATTTAGTCTTAATTAAGCCAATTTAGTTGGTTCTCTTTTTTATTTTATAGTCCTCACAGGATTCATCGAAAGCGGAATGCTTATAGACAAATTATCTAGGAAATATTTTAGAAAAACCAGATTTTGAGAGGCAAGAGAAAACATGAAATAATAATTGCACAATATTTTTGGGTAGTTTTGTCTGACATTTTCCTGTGTCACAAAACACCTATGATCAGGTCAGTCAAGAAAATCAATTACCTAGGAAAATTTAAATAGACGGTCTGTCGCAGTGGAGAAACAGGGACTAAAGAATCATTTGCAAAGTATTTTAATTTTTTATTTATTGCATTGAATAGAGTTAGGCTAAATGGCCAGCAAATCTCCCTTTAAATATAGAGTGAGAATAATGCTCTATGTTGGAGCTAGAGGGAGAGGACAAGGAAGTAACCTTTGTGAACCCTCCTTCCTTCAACATTTCTTGAACAAAATGCTCTAAAAGACTTTGAGAAGCTACTGGAGACTGGAAAGAATGTCAAAAGGAAGAAGAACTGGTGAAGAACATTTTCTCAGTGCTTTTCTCAAAAGTACTTCTCTGCTGGATCCAGACACAGAACAGGAGAAATCTGTGTTCATTGATCCACCTCTGATTTTGAAATTCTGTTTCTCCTGTCGGCTCAGGATTGACAAGATGCTGTTCTTACCATAGGTTATTACAGTTGGAGCAACCAATGCCCAAGACCAACCTGCATCCATGGGGACTTTGGGAACCAACTTTGGACGTTGCGTAGATGTGTTTGCTCCTGGAGATGATATCATTAGTGCCTCTAGCGACTGCAGCACCTGCTTCACATCGCAGAGTGGGACATCCCAAGCAGCTGCCCATGTCGCAGGTAATATTGTATGACAGAAATATGAAGAGTCCAGCAAGTTGTTTAGTTCTTGTGTCAGGATTCCAAGTAACAACCCAACGCAAGAAGACTCCAAGGGTAGAAGTTCCTCAAAGTTCCATTTTATTAGAGGTGTTATATTGGCACATCTGGGAAAACCCAAACCGGAAAGCTTCCAGGTTTTCTCCACCCAAAAGAAAGCCCAAGTCCCTTCCCCTGCACCCACATGTCCATCACATGGTCCAATCAATGTACCGTCCCAACTGGAGATGCCTTCCAGTCACCCCACTCCAGGTGCAGGCCTAATGTCATTGGCTCTCAGAAAAAGGAATGTTATTATGGCTAGATATCCCTGCAACTCCATGCAATTCTCCCTCCCAGTTTCCCACAGCACTAAGTGTGGCAGCCCTGAAGATCCAGAGAAAAAAAGATATCCTCCAGGGCTGACATCTCGTTTATTATAATGAGGTTTTTTTCAAGATGAACTATCAATAATGCATGTCCTGTTAAGTGACTTTGAGGAAAGTATGACAAGATTTTTAATAACGGGGAAAAAAAGCCTTAAATTTTTTCCCCCATTCCAAATATACTCTCAGATTTGTAAAATTCAAATCTATAGAACAGTGCATGGTGGTAATGCATTGCTATCAGTGGGAAAAAAAGAGCAGAATTTGTTTATTTGCATGTGGTATTAGGGAAGGGAAAATTGAAGTATTAAGCCGATCAGGTCTTAAAGACACTATTTTTAGTATTTAAAGTGAGCAAAGGATGACATAGTGGTTTGTATCAGCTTGGTTAGCTCCAGGGACTACAAAAACAAAGCAACCAGTATTCCTACCTTTGCAATACCCACCAGTGGTACAAATTAAACTGGTACAATTTGGACATTTTCATTGCATTTATGTTTTATGCCATCAGTGGATTGCTTAAAGAAGTGGTGGATTTTTTACTGCATTTACCCTTGTCTTGTTCTAGAAGAGGCAGCTAAATAATTTTGTATGTATTCCATTATCAAGATAAGCAAGTTTAGTTCTTTTTAGATTCCACTGGTTTCCAGAAGAAATGTTTATGTTTCTGATGAAGCTGACTTATGAGAAACTGAATTGATATTTAGGATTTAGAGTAACTTTTAATTGAGTATGGAACAGGTACTTTTTGTTGATATGTGTCTGTCTGTCTGTCTCTCTTTCTCTCCCTAATACCATATTCACGTTTTCAATCACATTCAGAAACAGGAGAGAAAATTATTTGACTGAAAGTTTCCGGTGTTTTAAATCAAACGGGCATGATAAAACATTTATTTTTCCATTCATTTTCTTTAATCACGAAGCAGAAATGCAGGGGTGAAATGAGCCAAAACCATGAAAACCAAAGACATTCACATGTGTAATCTTTTAAGACATTAAGATTGGTATAACTTTGAAGTACATGTAAATGTTACTGGGGCATCAATTCAGATTAGAATTTGAAGAGCATAGTTGGTTCATGCTTATGTTATTCATTTGGACACACATATAGAAATCTTCCCTGATTCAGGCAGGAGGATTGGAGAATAATTTTCTTGAAGGGAAAGTGCGAGAGAAAGTCTGCATTTGTATTAAGTTGCCTCAGTTTTTGCCAAGCAAATAATCAGTATCAATTGGACTTCTTGTAAAAAAAAACAACCATACAAGCATAAAGCATTTTGAGGTAATTATACAAATATAAAATGTAGAATTTCTCCAAAGCACCTGAAGGCAAGACAAGAAGCAATGGATGGAAACTAATTAAAGAGAGAAGCAACCTAGAATTAAGGATAAATTTCCTGATAGAACAATTAATCAGTGGAACAACTTGCCTCCAGAAGTTGTGAATGCTCCAACACTGGAAGGGGGTTGAACTAGAAAGCCTCCAAGGTCTCTTCTGACTCTGCTATTCTGTTCTGTTAAATACATAACCTAATCCATCTTCATGCGTGCTTTTGATGGATAAATACAGGGCTTATTTGTTGTCCTAGGTATTGCAGCCATGATCTTGAATGCCAATCCTGCCCTGTCCATCTCCGAGCTAAGACAGAAACTGATCCACTTTTCTGTCAAAAACCTTATGAACGAGGCTTGGTTTCCAGAAGACCAGAGGCTGTTAACACCAAACAGAGTGGCTGGGCTTCCCTCCAAAATTGTCGCAGGTGAGACTTTAGTGACTTCTAGTGGTGGCTCATTATTCTTATTCCATTAATCATGTGTCATAGCACCTTCTTCATGATTTGAAGTCTGCCCATGGACTTGGATATGGTAATGTCTGTGTATGAGAAGGAGCCCAACCATACTATTGGTTGTGATCAGTCTGTTATAAGTTGTTCTAAATTTAGATAATCCAAAATATTTCCAAGTGCTTATGATATTTCACCTGCTACTCCAATAAATGATACTATTGTTAACTTGTTCCAAATTTTTGCAATCTACATTTGCAAATCTCAGCATTTTTTCTGATTTCTTGTCTTCAAAGTTACAGCGGAATGATTATATCAATAAACTAAAAATGATTCCTTACAAAGATAGTAATAGGGTGTGCATTATGTTCAAAGAGTTGATCAGTCTGAATTTTAAATACCATAATTTTTTTTGCTCTGTGACTTTCAGTGATGTTATTTGCAATTTTAAGTTTCCAGCAATTCTTAATTGAAGGTGAATTTGTACTCTCAACCAAAATGCCAGTGATATCTTCCCAATTCCACTATGCCTTTTTTGTAATTAGCTTCAGTTTCCAGTTATTATATGGTCAGTGGTTTCTTCCTTGGCACAACTAGCATTTACTATCTAAACTGATCTTTTCTACTTTTGTTCTGAAAACATTTGTACTTAATGCTTGTTCTTGAGCAATAAAAAGCATTCCTTTTACAACACTTCCTTTTTAAAATACTTCATTCTTAAGCCATTTTCATGTTTTATTGTTGTCTAATTTTCCTTCAATATCTTTCAAGGAAGATATTGCTTGGCTTTTCCAATTTTCTAACCTCATTTCAAGCTGTTGCTTTTTATAGTCACTGAGATTCCATTTCCCCAAATAGCCTTTTTTTCTGAGATTAATTCAATAAAGCTTTGTTATTGTTTTGATGTAATCGTTAAGCTTTAATCGGTGCTAGCCCTCCAAGTCTTTCTTGGGGGAAAAAACAATCCTTCAATAGCAATATGAGGATATAAAGCATTATTTATAGGCATCAATTTTTTGATTTGCTAGTCAAGATGAATAAGGTTCAAAATTCCTGTAATAAATCTAATTATTGATATTGCACATGAATTGTTTGATTCCACCCATTAGGTGAGATTTGGGGATTTTCTTTAATCATTTGTACTAATTTGAGCTTATATTTTTTTCTTTGTTGTACAAACTGATGTTTCCAAAATTCCCAGATATTTATAAACTCATTTAGGTACCAGACCTTTGATGCTTTTTTACTTAAAAGTTGAGTATCTTGTGAGTTAATTAGTTTACTTTCTTTACTGCAATGATCGTATATTTATTAAGTCCAAATTGTGTTGCACTATATATTTGGCCCTACTCTCTCTTAAAAAATCAATATATTAAGTGACATCTCTTTCACTAGTTTTTTAAACTATTAAATCTTGTTATCTATTTTACTCTTAAATTGAATCAACATTTGTAACTTAAGCAAATTAATAACCAAAATGTAAGCATATTTGCTAGATGGACAGATAACTAATCTAATCTAATCCAATCTAATTCTTCCAAATAGCCAATTTTGTTTTATTCATGAACTGCACTCAACTTTAATGTGATTTGTTTAATATTGGCTTTAAGTGTCATGTGAATCCAACCTTTGCAATTTATAATTCTTGTTTTATGGCAAGAATGACTAATCTTTTCAACTTTTGCCATCAGTTCCTCCTTGGAGATCACCGAGGACATGTCTGTGGTATAGTAATGTCACCAGGTACACTAAACTATGAAACAGACACCAGGCAGTTCTAAGCTACTTTTATTAGAAGAGCTTTAGCAACAGAACCTTGCAATTATGAATGTGTGCCATCCTCCCTCCCTTCATGAGAATGGCAGTGGGTTGGGGAACTCTCAGGAAAATATTGGGGGGGGGGTTTAGCCCTCTAATTCCTGTCTTTATTTTGGGGTTTTCAGGGTTAAAATAATGCAAGCACAAACAAGACCTATTTCAAACTTCAGCACCTCTGGTTTATGGCCAATTGTGGCTTATTCAATTAACTGTGTGTTAGTGCAATGTGTTTTCCAAAGATAGGATTTTTCCAAGTGGTTGAACTACAGCCTGGAGATAGTCCTAAACAAATGGGGATTCTGCTAGTCCTTAGCGGTGACCACTAGCCACTCTCTTTCAGAGGAACAACTGTACTGTCGCTCTGTGTGGTCTTTCTTGTCTGACTCAACCAGTGCAGCAACAGCTGTTGCCCGATGTAACAGCGATGAAGACATGTTCAGCTGCTCAAGTTTATCAAAGAATGGCAAGCGGCGAGGGGAGCACATTGAGGTAAGATGGTGTCGTTTGTTATTTAATTTTAATTAGTTGTATATGCAGATCTGTATCTGAGCCAGATACGGAAATCAGATTTGATACCATTCTTGGTATCTTATTCTCACTTCTTTCCCTCCCCCCAAATACTAGGATATTGGAGGCAAGAAGGAGTGTGTGGCTCACAACAGATTTCGAGGCCAAGGTGTCTATGCCATAGCCAGATGTTGCATTTGGCCCAAGGCTGACTGCCAGGTTAATAGCCATTCACAGACCACAGAGGACACAGCTATGAAAAGTGTTAGCTGCATCCAAGATAGCCACGTTTTGACAGGTATGCAATGACAGCTGTCTTGATAGTAACTAAAGAAGCAACATTTTTGATATAGAGATATTATGTTTAAGTTGAAGCAAATAGGATCTGGGCTAAAATAGATCTTCTATGGATAAGACACTAAAGACTTATAAGATCGGGTGACTAATGGTATGTTACTTGAAGAGACCAGCTTTTAGCAGCACAACAGAAGGAAAAAGATACAATTCCTGCTTCTCACCATCTTCTAACATTTGCCACCTTAAGTGACCACCTATCCGGATTCTACTTTGTTCTTGTGCTATAATGCCTGGTCCAATGTGAAAATGTTAGATTATTATTTGAGCACTTTGCAAAAATTAAAAACCAAAGTTGGTAGCTCTATTTTCCCTTTCCTAAGGTTTTTTGCATGTGAGAATACAAAGACTCAGGGATGTACCGCCATTTATTTTCAATCTGGTGCACAAAAAAACCCTCCAGCACTGTTAGCTAACATTGATAGCCATGTATATACTTCAGGTGAATCTTTTACAAAATGCCCTAATATGATTTACATTGGCAGGCTGCAGCACCCATTCTCTGGCTGGAGATGTCAGTGGCGGCATCAATGCTGTACACCAGGCAGACAGTAGCCGGGCTCACTGTGTAGGACAAGGAGAAGCAACGGTGCATGCTTCCTGCTGCCATGCACCCAGCCTTGAGTGCAGAGTTCAGGGACATCCTCCCCTGGAATACTCAACAAAGGTATGCATATATCATTCTTGATGGCATCTCTCGGTCTAACTATGGTAACTTGTTCCTAAAAAGTGCAAGCGCTCATGAATTGAAGATGAAAATGATTCTGTGCAATCCCTTGCACGGCCAGTGAATAGCAGGGAAAGGCTGCTACAGATTGTCCCATAAATTAATCAAATGGGCTGGGCTTCTGCAAAATGTTAACTTCCAGCAGCCAAAATCAAAACTAATCAACATTAGCATTAATTAAAGTTAATTAAAGTTCTGTCAAAGATAGTCCAACAAGGATTTGCTATGAAGATCTGCTATAAAAGGAGTTTCTACAGAGAAGGAACAAGAGAACTAGTGTCTCATTCATGTTCAATACTGTAGGAAGTCCAAAAATATGACATGTCCTGATAATAAGGCCATGCCACATTTTTCTGGTGGACAAAAATATAAGCCCTCCCAGGCAAATAAGCCCCCTGGACAATACCCCCCTCCGGCCAGGCAGAGTGCCGCTCACCAACCTAGTGGTATCCTGAAGGTGCCACAGGAACTGGGAGAGGGGGGATGTCAAAGGTGGTCGCGTTGCTTGGTGCCTTCAGGATACCACTGGTTTGGTGAGTGGCGCTATGCCCAGCTGGAAAGGGGGGTTGCTGGGCGGCTGCGCTCTTTTGCGAGTGGGCTCCCAGAGCCGGGCACAGGGGTGCCCGGGTGAACGGCTGGGTTGCGCTATCACTGCAGTGCAACACAGTAGCCATGAAGCGACCATGAACAGCCACCTGGCAAACCCCCTTTCCAGTCAGACACAGTGCCATTCACTGACCTAGGGGTATTGCCAAGCCGTGTGAGCGCTTGATTGCCGCCGCCCAGCTCCTGCAGCTTTGCACCTTCGAAATGCCAGTGAATGGTGCTCTGCATGTCTTGGGGGGGGGGGGTTGTGCGAGCAGCTGTTCCACTCCCGCTCGCACGGCTCCAAGTCTCACAATCCCCTGGCCCAGCTCTCCCTGCAGAGCCAGGGCATCTCCGCCGCCGCCACCGCCATCCTAGCTTTGCTTTTTCAGTGGCTTCCAAATCAAGTCTTCCGGCAGTGGCTGCTCTGGGAGTACGCTGTATGGTTGTGGGCTGGCTGCTGGCAGAGCGTACTCCCAGAGTGTACAACCTTATAATTCCTTTTTCTTAGGTGATGGAGACCTGTGACGATGGTTGGACTCTAACAGGATGTAATGCCCAGTCACATAGCTCCAACACTCTTGGGGCATATTCAGTGGACAACACCTGCATTGTAATCAGCCGTCCCGAAAGCAAAGGAGCAACTGCAGTTGCCATCTGTTGCAGAAAAAAGCTCTTAGAGGATGAGAAGCAAAGTTCCAGTAACAAATGACAATTCTACCTTTTCCAGCCTCCACCTATCCAAAGGACCCACAAATTTTGACAATTGCCATACATGGTCATACTGGCAAACACGGTAGTTTGTAGAGCAGGACTCCAATACAGCTTCGGATTGCTCGTGATAGCCTTAGCACAACAATTTCAGATGCTGCAATTGTGCAAAACATTGTCCCTCTAGCAACAGTCCCATTGTTGTTTTCAAGAGATGGGTGTCTTTGATGTCTCAGTAATATCAGTTAAACTGCATTTGTAAAATATCTTTGATCAATCATTATACATGATTTTTCAATACCTTTTTAGTTGCAATCAGTGACTTCCAAGTTTTTTAGAATATCTATTTTGTCAACCGTCCATTAGTTCAATGCATTTTGCTTATAGTTGCATAGAAGACATGGGGAGGAGCATGCAGAAGAATGAAGAAGATAACAGTTTCTGTGTAATTCTTTAGCTTGGTCCCACTCTTTCATTGGTTGAACTATAACCAGAAACGTCCGTGTATATATGAGTGGTGCTTAAAACTGTAAAAGGTGAAAGTATTAACACTATAGATCAGCCCAGGATAGCAGATTAATTGCAAAGCATGCCAATTAACATTATATCGTGCTTTTAAAAATATTTTTATATACTAAGTTGTACGGTACTATTTTGCAGCAAACATAGGCAAACCATGGGCTGTATTAACCCTTCCTTCTAAAGGCCCCATGCAATTAATAGAGTATCCTTTGTAGTTAAACTGTTACGGAACCATTTAACAGTTTAATGCTTTAAAAGGAAACAGGCATACCTGCGAGATATTGCGGGTTGGATTTCAGATCAGCAAATATTACAATAAAGTTGAATCACACATTTTTATTGGGTGGGGGAGGGAGGGGGTTTCTGACTGCATATAAAAGTTAGGTTTGCACTCTGGGTAAAATAGTACTATGTCTAAAAAAACTATGTAAGTTCTTTATTACTAACATCTTAATTAAGGTTCTTTATTACTAATGAGCAAATGCTCTTGGAAAAATGGTGCCAGTAGATTTGACACAGGGTTGCCATAAGCCTTCTATTTACTAAAAAAATTCAGTATATGCAAAATTGAATAAAGCAAAACACAATAAAATAAGGTATGCCAATATTCAAATACAATTTAATAGAATTGGGAAGTGTTTCTCCTGATTCTGCTCACTTCTTGAGATTCTATGGTTGTTGCACTCTCAACCTGAAACAGCCTAGGATTTAGATCAGGGGGGTCAAACTTGTGGCCCGTGACCTGGGTGCATCGTGTGCTGGCCACGCCCAGCAACGGTTTAGCGAAGAGGGGAAAAACTTGCAATTTGTCACGTGACGTTCATTGTGAGTTTGACACCCCTGATCTAGATTGTACACATTACTGTTTTCTGTCATTCTCCAGTGCCATTATATAAAACCACTTAATGGGTTGTAGTTGGTCTGAAGTAGGATTTTATCCTATTGTGTCCTTATAGTAACTTTTGAAAAGCAGACGTTTCTCCTCTTTTATTTCACACAGGAAACAATTACTTTAATTGTAATACTTAACATATTAAAATTATTGTAAATGAACTGTGTTAGCTACTGTATTCACAAATGGAGGGAGCTCTGCAAAAATGAGAGCAGTTTTCTCCAAGGAGACTGGATCAACGTAGAGAATTATTAGTCTCTAGATATCACTGAAGCATAACTTTCAGTTTCATCCTCTTATGATTATTATTCTGAAAAATATTGAAAACTGTAGCTGAAAAAAATAATAATTGGGCTCCAGCAAGGCTACCGGATCAATGTTAGAATAGTTTTATATACGCAAACCTGAAGCTTTTAAAAGCACTGAAGACTTAGGACTCCTGCATGACAGGCCTTAAGGCAACCATAAAACCAAGTAATCGCTGGGTAACTTTCACCAAACAGTGTAGTTTCCTAACAAAGTATTTGGTATTTGAAATTGGCTTTTCAAATCTTTTCCCCCCTTATCGAATGTTTCATTGCCTATATAATTGAGTCTTTAACCACGTATATGTTCAATTAAGGGGAATATATTTTTTAATTAAGGGACCATATACATGTTTCTTTAAATGTAAACTTAAATGCAAGTTTAGTTCAAAGTAAATGTGTAGTGGAGCCTGTTGCATTTCTGCTTTAGAAAGACAAAAAGAATACCAAATCATGAATAGAGTAAACTGCATGTGACTCTTTATATGTTGTTTTGGAGTTATTACTCAAATGTATTATCTACAAAGTAATTGCTTGAGAAGATGTTTTGTGCTGTGGATCTTACATTTTTATCTGGACTCTATTTATTATGTTTTATATAACATTTTATAAAGCAATTTCTTTTTGAAATAAAGTTTCATACAATTTTAATGTGGCTGCATTTATGAAACTGTACTTAAATCCCTCCTCTACATTTTTCTATAATTATATAATTAAGGAAAGGGGAAAGGAAAAAAATCTAATTTGTATCACATCTTGGTTTTTTTCATTAGAGATTCAAACTCATACGCGATACCCATTGTAAAACATGTGGCAGAACAAAATACTTTAAGAGATATATAAATTACCAGATTACATAGAAGATAGGTATGAAAAATATCCTTAAATACCCTCACGTCTTTCAGTGTAAAATAGCATACTGATATGGTTCTGGTGGCACAGTGATTAGAAGGCAGTATTCCATGCTAATTCAGCGCACAGTCAGAAGTTAGATTCTGATGGGCTCAAGGTTGATTCAGCCTTCTATCCTTCTGAGGTTGGTAAAATGAGGATCCAGACTGTTGGGGGCAATATGCTGACATTGATAAACTGCTCAGAAAGTGCTGTAAAACCCTGACACCTATGTGGAGTTTACACCAGATATTTTCTCTTTGTGCCCAGAGAGGAAAATCTGCTGCTACCTAGGATCAAATTCACAGCCTCCTGATTGTGAAGTGAGACCTCCACCTCTAGGCCACCACACTGCTCTGTTCCTTAACTTAATAATCAGGCATCTTTTTCTTTTTTCTTTTGGTGAGAGGGATAGACCACCTTTATTCCATTGAACAGGATTTTTTTCTCTCTCAGGGAAACTGCCTCTCCCTTCCATTTTTCACTGCCTTGGGAACTAATTAAACACAATTGTACACAATGAGAAGATGCAACAGAATTGTAATTGCCCCAATCCTATAGAACATTATGTATAAAATGCATTTTTCATCCAAAAGGATAGCAGTAAGAGATTGCAACGTAAAACATGTGACAATTTGCACGGCAAATTAGTTCCTTTAAAAAAAGTCTTCAGCCGATTAAAGTGATAAAGCTGGAAATCAAATAATTGACCAAATATTATATTTGAAACCATAGCCATTAACTCTACAAGCTGGGAGTAAAGCAGAAAAGAGTTTGCTGTGGTTTTAGAAAGTATAGGGGTGAAACAGATCATCCTGCGATTCTGAAAATAAATGCCCTGCTTCAACTTGGGTTGAGACCCCCTTTTCCATAGGAAACTATGCAAATTTAAATGATTTTGGACCAATGCTTTCCCCTTCAGATCAGCTCTCTAACTCACTTTCATTTAAATTAAATGGAAGATAGGGGGACAGTCAGGATGGAATAGGAACATTATTTATTCTAAATTTTAAAACATTGTATTAAAATGTTTGAAGGCTTAATAAAATATCTGAGTTTCTGCTAACTTCACTGAAAGTACCACCTTCAGAGAAGACATTCATTCAGCTGAAGAGTCATTTTTAACAGTACTTCTCTGACTCACCCATATGGCAGAGAATTTCAACTGGAAGATGTGCGGCCTTTTTCCAGCAACAGTGAAATGACCTGTTATAGTTACAACTAGTGCACAACAGTGAAGTAATTTATGTGCCAGTTCAGTTTTTCTAACAGTAATAAAAGAAAAAAAAGAGGCACTTTTTGGCTGCTTGTGCCTTTGACTTGGCAAATTGTCCAGGCACTCTGAGCATTTCCCCCCAATTCATGAGCATGGTATATTTTGTATAAATTAAGGCAGAAATCCTTGAAAAAAAGCAAAAGGAAAAGCAAATGAAGAAAAAGCTGAAAAAAAACCCTGGGATTCAACATTGGTGTGGGAAAAAGTGTTGAGAGTAGTTTAAGAGATTATTTAACTGCATTTCATGTGGTGAACAAAAGCATACTCATATTCAGTTCAATTTGTTTCCAGTTATGAAAGAATTACACTTGTTGTATTTCATGTGCTGCCTAGCTAAGCAAAACAGCTTGCAATCCTTTGCCTGTGTTAATTTTTTTTAAAAATTGAAATGTTCCTACTTTACTCAAGTAATAATGTAAAGCCAATTTCTACTTTTTCAATTTAGAAGTATAAGCAAATGATTGCAGATCACATTAACACAACGGTTTATTCAATATGTCTCCAAGTAGAAGGATGATTTCAGGAGGCAAACAGCAATACAATTCTGTCTTAAAGTGCTTTTTTGTTAAACTTACTCATCATTTTCTAAAAAGTTATACTGATGCCATAATTGTATTCTTGGAATAAACAAAGCTCTTTTATTGCTCTTACCCTTTAAGCACACAGCATCAGGAAAAAAGATTACCGATTCCAGACTAACTTGTACCAAAACCATTCCATAAGGAATAATCATCCTTACATAAAAGGGCTCTCTTAAAAACAACCCTTTATGTAAAGCACTATACAAATTACCTAGAGACATATTAAATACAAAAGTCCTTGTGTAAATTTATTCTTAACTAATATTTTACAATGCCAAGTGTAAATCACACATTTTTACATAATTTTGAATATTCCTATTCAATATTAAAAAAAAGATTAAAAATTTGCCATTTATGTGTAAAGGCAATCTGATTTTTTCTTCTGTATAAAAACCCAAGTCTTTTTTTTTTCTTTTTTTCTTTTGTTTTGCAGCATCACAGAAAAGCAAAAGTTTTACATTCACTCATTAAATGTTCACATAAAAGTTTCAATTACTTGATAACTGTTCTTAAATGGGTGGAATCTTGACAGGGTTTTTGTTTTGTTGTGTTTTACTCATGCCTAAACTAGCATCTATAAGAACCATAGCAGATGCTGGGAGACTTTCATAGCCTAATGCTGGAACTTCTCAACTGAAGAATACTTTTAACTCATTACAAAGTACCTATTGATCTTTTGAAAGCATTTACTTCAGATTCCTGTAAAAGTGAAAACAAAAGGATTCCAGCCATATCATGAAAGTGCTGGGTATTCCTCACTTCAGAGCAGCTTTTTCTCCTTCAGCTTGCAGCCATCAATTAAGTATCCACATCTTCAAGGTCACTTTTAGGTTCGCCAATCATCATGGGAGATATTGAGCCCTTTTAAAAAATACAGAAGAATTAGGAAGGTTATGCGGTTGTTTAAACTGAACAAATAATTATTGCAGGAAGGTATCATAAATGATGCCCTGTGCATCATTTAGCAACTGCCTTTTGGAAACCAGAAATTAACCCTATATTTTTTACAAAAGGAGCAGATGAACTGAATGTGAAATAAAGATAGTCCTCGGTTAATAACTGCCCTGTTTAGCAATTGTTCAACCTTATGATAGCACAATGGTTGCAGCGTCCCTGTGTTCATGGGATAGCGATTTGAATGCCTGGCCACTGGCGTGCATTTACAATGGACAGAGTATTCTGCAGTCACGTGATCACCGTTTGTGACTTTCACAGCCAACTTCATACCGACAAAGTTCATGGAGAAAAAGGCAGTCATTAAGCTTCAGTCAACAACCATGGGTGATATGCTTAATGACCGAAGTGGAACTGATATTGTAAGTCAGGGATGGTCACATGCAGTTTCACTGAATGATCTTGACACATAGCAACAGGGTTGCCAGTTCCAAATGCAGTTGTTAAACGAGGACTACCTGTATTGCACTAGGATAACACACCATGATTAGGAGCACTAAAACGGATGTATGTGTGTATGGAATTTGCTATATTAAAAAGCAATTAAACGCCCCTCTTAAAACAAATTGCACTTAAAACAAATTCATGGAAGACAAAGTTATCAATGGGTCCATGTCATGATGACGTTAGAACGTATCTAGAATCAGAGATAACTCTCTTAATACTGGTTGGTGGTGAAAATGAGGAGAATGCAGATGTACACAAGTCTTCCTGTTGCCGAATCTATATTGTCATATGTTGTTTAACAAACTAATGAAGTTGCTATTGATAGAGTTTTTATTTGAATATTTCAAGGTTTGAAGTGTTAATTTCATCCAAGGAAATACTTTCAAAACTTTGACTATATCAAAGGTTAGTTTAGAAATAAATGTAATATAAATTAGATCAGCACTACCATAACTATCAGAGGACAGATGGAGTATAAATACAGTGCAATGTATAATATAATCTTGCTATGACTATATTGTGACATTTTACCTGCTACATAATGTTTGAATATTGCCCATGTTCACCATTTCCTTTAGCGCTGGCCTGCCACTGAAGGCAATAGGGCCTTAAAAACAAAGCACATCACGTAAGCTATTATTAGGACCATGTGAAGCTTCAGATGAATGAATTAATTCAAAGAGTTTGATTTCAATCATCCCTTCAAACAGAATCTTAGCATTAATTGAAGGTATTACACTGAATCAAGATCCTTGGAATGGCTACAGAGAAATTTCAGAACCGTTATATGTTCTGATTGACATCTTGTATTGATATCTGTTTAGTTCATTTGGAGGGAGGGAAACTGAAATTTGTTTTGTTTCTTCTTTTTGTTCTTGCACACTCTTTTGTTTTCCTAAATTCATGGAGTTTTATCCTATTATTCCAGTTTGTATCTGATATATTTATGGTTCTTCAGTTTTTCAATCTTTCCATTTCTCCCTCCACTGTTTCTGCCAGAGACTGTCCCTGTCTTATGTTGGTTGAGGTAAGTTAAGTCTTTTTTTAAGAAGTAGGTAAGTAGATCTATAGAAGTATGCTTAGTATTATAACTGTTGTATATATGCAAACCTTTTCTTTGTATTATAGGATATTATGGATGAGTTAGTAATCATATACACACTTCTCAGTCTCATCATGTAATACATAATTCCTACAACAGACTGA